ATGACGTCCTCTACAAAATAAAGAATTTAACAATTTGTTATTTCTTGTTATTGCTGGATTATCAGATACATCATCCAAAATTAACAAAATATTAAATAACTTCTTCATTCCTTGTTTTTTCTGGTATTCAATTATTTTATTTTGAGTTTCTATAACTCTTTCTAAATCTTCAACATTGAACTCATCCCACCAACACGGTTCTTTATCAATATCTACTTTCAAACCTTCTTTAATGTATTTTTTGACAGGCAACCAAATACTATCCAAATTTACAGATGGGGACCAGATAAAAACTCTTTCAAATGCTCCTCTATAAATATCAAGTATCATTGATACAAGTAGGGTGCTCTTTCCAGAACCAGACGGGCCTACAATCATAGCTCTCATCGGCAATTTAGGGACAACCTCGTGCTTACTTTGTTTAAAGTCATATTTGATTTCATCAATTGGTTTTACATCAGGCATAATAAAAATAATATTATAAATACTTATAAAATAAAAAATATAATATAATTATATCATAATGGCTATAGAATCTATTAATTTAAGTGAAGTGGCTAGTATTCGGAGGATATATAAATTTGGTGATATCTTAGTTCCAGATACTGAACAAATATATTATGATACAATGTTATACTTTTTATCTGCAATTAAAAAACAAAATATCGTAGTATCCAAGTCCTCAATTGAAAATGACAATAACCTAGATTTTAATTTTAGAAAGTTAGTAAATTTTATGAAAGATTATCCCGATATGTATACAAATGAAATGATAAGTAGTGTACAAGAAGTTATTGATATTAATATTAGAGATGTTAGTCTATCAACTGCAATAAAACTTACTAAAGAAAATAGTTTAAATACATATTCTATTTAATATTAATGGAACATCGTTTTATGATATGCTGGTGGCGAATATCATAAAATGGAACAGGTTTTCCATTGATTCAATCAATAAGCATTGAAGCTAATTAGTTTGTATCTCTCTCGCGTGTGCAATGAAAACCCCAAGTGCTGTGCCCCACCAATATTCTATTATGCATGAAAATAATAAGATTAAATAACTATTTTATCTTATTATTTAATATGAAAAGGAGTTATACAGATTATATTGATATAATAAATGAAGTAGAAAATATAGAACGGGTTGTTATAACTAATAATAGATTCAAAAAAATATGTTATTTTATTTTAGAATTAATTAAGTTTGTTATACAATATATCAAAAATAAAAATGTGAATATTAATATAAATGGGAAAAAAGAAAAAGAACAAGACTGAACCAGTTGTTTCTTCGACTGATGAAGAAATTGTTAAAGAAACATCAGTTGTTGAGTTTGCTTGTCCAATGTGTAAAAAAATCTTAGAAATGAAGAATGAATTAGAAATACAAAAGAAAGGAAACTGTAAATGTTCGTGTATTCCAACCAGTTTCAAAATAAGTAAAAATGATAAGAAAATGAATATTGATAAAACTAAAGACAGTATAAACTTAGAAACAGATGTTCATAATATTGCTATCAAATGGGGACGGCATGCCTCACCATCCGATAATGGTGATAAGGAAACTCAGGAAACTATACGCGAAATGATGAAAAAATAATAGTTAAAATTATTTCTATTATTATTTATAATGCAAGATGTTATAAATAATATTATTAAATTCATTGATGTAAAAGACTTGAAATTAAATAATTTTATTGAAGAATATAACGAAAATGATATATTAATTAATTTTGTTAATGACTTTAGAAATAGCAAAATTGATTTTAACATGTTTTATAATTCTATTAATTATGCTGATTTATTTGAACAATCAGATTTAAAATTCTATTGTAAAAGAATATATTCATATACTTTAAGATTTATTGCTAATTATGATAATAAAAATGCTATTCAGTTTTATGAAATTACATTGAGAAAAATGAATAATATTTACAAAAATAGTAACATTAATGTTGTTAATGTGTTTGAATGTATTAAATGTTTAATAATTTATATTACAAATAATATTGAAAAGTTTCATAAATATTCAAAATTTAGAAAAACTATTATTTGTAATTTAATTGGTAAATTGAATAATAATTTAACGAGTTACACAATAACTAATTTTGAATTGACTTATAATGATATATGATTTTGTAAAATAAAAGTTTAGTTTTAAAAGTTTTATTTTATAATATAATATATATATTTACATGAATGAAGGATTAGAAAAGATTGTCAAAAAACTGAACAAGGTTTTAGAACAGAATAAGAATATTTTAGAAATCTTGCAAGAAATGGAAAAGAAGAAACATTTAACAAACAGTTATCAAAGTAAAGAAGTAGATAGAACCAATGCTGAATATAAAAATAAGAAACAAGTGTATTTAAACAAACTTAATAACAAAGAAATTAAAGAACCGAAGGCTTCAACTATGACATTTTATCAAATTGACTATGATGAGGAAACGCAACTTTATTCATAAAGTTGTATTTACTCATTGAAAACTAAACATAGTTTAGTTTTTAACGAGGAAACAGGGATTTTTATTCATAGATAATATTATCTAAATATCTTTAATAATGAACTTATTAGAGATGTTTAGCGGAACAGGCAGTGTTGGACTTGTTGCAAAGTCGCTCGGTTTCAATGGTATTTCATTATTGTAAATTAAGGGCTTAGACGATGGACATCATGGGATTGGGTGATGGGAAACGTGGGATTGGACGATGGGAATCGTGGGCTTGGACGATGGGAATCGTGGGCTTGGACGATGGGAATCGTGGGCTTGGACGATGGGAATCGTGGGATTGGACGATGGGAATCGTGGGATTGGACGATGGGAATCGTGGGATTGGACGATGGTGATAGCAATTAGAACAATGGGATGGTTTGAAAAATCAATAGGAAATAATATTTTTACAATGATAAGACGGATGATAAAATAATGAAAATAATTAAGAAGCATTATATAGCTGAGTTAATAAGTTGAACTCATAATATAATTATAACATGTAAAATATTTTATGTTATAATTACACTAAACTTATGGTTTGTTTCTTAATTTTACTTAATGCCTTAAAAATGACTTAAAGAAATAGTGCCTTAATATAATAAGAGGAAAATGAACGGTGATAAAATCAATAATTATATCAATAAAAAATGCTATGATTGTTGTCACTTCAAAAAAGAAAATATGGAATTGTATAAATTGAATTTACCTAATGAAACAGTGAATAATATTATTAATTATTCAATGGATGAAAAAGATGAATGTGAAAATTGCCAGGAATGGAGAGATAATCAAGTTTTAATCAAATGTATGTTGAGAATAAAAGGGAGACATAATAGAAATGTAGAAGATGAGATTTTAATATTTCTAACTGTAAATAAATTACCACCTTATGAATATGTTAAACAGTTTCTTAAAATCAGTAAGAAAAAATATGTAATGATTGCTGATATATTATTGATGTTGTGTCATAGTCAAAAGAAAGGACAAGATATTAAAGAATATATTAAATTTTATATTGAAATTTATAAAAAGTTTAATGTTAAAAATACAGTGAGAGATATTAATATTATTTTTAAAATGATGCATGAAATAAATGAGATTTGTCAATTAAATTATTATCCTGTACTGAAATTATAATCATACTATAATAATAACATGTAAAATCTTATGTGTTATAATTATACTGTACTTATGGTTTGTAAAGATTGAAATATTTTAATTTTCCTTGATTTGGCTGACTCTTTCAAAGTGCGTTGTTTGAACTTGGTATGCTCTTTTGATTTTTTCGTGCTTTGGCTGTTTGTATTTTATTTTGTTTGATACTCTTCTGATATTTTTTGTTGGTATGTTGCTTTGTTTTTTTTGATGTGTGTTTTTGAGTTTGTGTTCTTTGATGGTTTTTATTTTTGCTGTTTTGTTGGTATGCTTGATTGAATTATTTAATGTTGTATGCTGTGATTAAATATTTTGTTGGGGGTTGTTCTGGTTTTTGAGTTGCTTGGTGGTTCTTATCTTGTTTTCTGTGAATTTTGCTGATTTTGTTGTATGCTGTTTGATTATTTGGTTTTATTCTTTGAAGTGCCGTTTTATGTATTTTTTCCCCCCCCCCCCAAAAAAAAAAAAAAGAAACGAGTGATCTTGGTGATCCTAGCCACTCGATGGAGTTGCCTGGTGTTTGTGACTCCGCTGGGTTGATTCTTGCAGATTTGCATCGGGAAAAGAAAACACACGACCCATTTGGGCTTCGTATAACATTGTTCTCGGCTTTGTTCTCATTTTTTTAAAGCACGGAATTCGTCAAACTTACGTACTGCTCCCTCAAACTGACAGGTGCCATGGTCACAGCCACATCACTGGGTCCATAGAACCAAGTTCTAGCCTCAAGTGGGAAACCACACAAGATTTGTCGGAGTTTCTCAAATCCCCTTGTGCTTGGTCTTTGGAGAGAGACTACAAAAAAGACCCTGCATTTTTTTGGGACGTGGACCCAAATTTAACACATTGCCCAACAAACTTGTGGTTTGGTTTGGTAGTTTGTACGCTATGCACCAAGCCCAGGAGCTGGGGTAGCGCACCAGTTGGGAGGCGCTGGAAAGAGCTACCCTCTGTGCACAAACCCAGATCGAAGGTCCACAGAGGGGGCACTGACTTTCTCTTGATCAATTTACTGGTGGTGTCCGTGGAAAAAATCGGTGTCCACCTTTGGGAGGTTCCGTATTTTTTGCAGGACACCCTACGTGATGCCTCAAGGGTCACTTGTGGAATTCCGTCTTTATTGCAACCTATATGGTTGCCATCTGCCCGAGGGGTCAGAAGGTCCTGGCACAACTGGCTTGACTAGGTCCTCCAGTAGAGAGGTTAGAATAAGGGTACCCGTTTTTTCTGTCTATTTTAGTAGGGGAACCCTCCCAACCAAAAAAGAAATAGTTAAAGGGCACCTAGCTGGAGGACCTAGTTGAGTTCCCTGGCGAACAATGGAACACTGGAACACCATCTCTCCTGCGCATGAGCCGAGGTGATGCAGCTCATTGCATACGCGAAGCTCACTCGCTCCTCTAGGCGGCACCTGATGCATCGTTCCGCGGGGGAAGGGGGGGGGGGAGGAGGGAGTCCAAAAAAGCCCTTAATTGGTCATCAAAGAACCCGTCAACCAATTGACATCATCATTTGAGTCAAGGATGTGTGGTCCTAGTAATTACCAACCGCTGACCCAGTACTTTACCATCAAAGTCAGCTCCAAGTGGCTCCACGGGAACCAGCCAACCAGTTTCTGATGTTGACACCTGTATGCGCCCAGTTGGAGGACCCACAAAACTCAGGCGAACAGTTTCGCTGTCGCATGTCCATGTATGGTAGAGCAAAGTTGACCATGGCTCATATATAGCGGGAATGACCGCCGAGGCCGAGTCACAGGTCCCTTTGCAGCTCAAAGTCGAAGATCTCGTCCTGCCCGTCGCGCAGAAAATTGGCCTTCTCCTGCAGCTCTCCCGTGGCACTGCGCAGCCTTGGCGCGATCCATGTGTCTGCCAGCCAACACCCCCCCCCCTCCTACCACTGCTTTTTCCACCATGTCCGAACCCAACAGTACAGTAACCAAGACCAAAAACCAGTCGTTGCTATGGACCCGGGCGCTGACCTTGTGCTTTCCCCCTTCAAACAGGGGCCGGCGGCCAGGGTCTGGTTGTTTCAAGTAGTCTTGACCCAACCCCTCCTTCGGCCAGGCGGCAAACTTGGGAATGGCCCCGTGGCTGTCAAATGGCCCCTCAAAGCAAGGCGTAGCGAAGGTCACTTACACCATGAACAGATATCCAAGCCATTTCAGACACCATTTTGAGCCATTTTGGGCGTGCCCCAAGCCATTTCAGACATACATGCACTTGCAGACAGAAACCAGGAAATTCACCACTTTGATCTATTTCGGGGGTGCACCAAAAAAAAACAGACAGGCATTAACTGAGCCACCCGTAAAGAGTGGGTAAACCACATGTTAGTCATATTCAAAACCCGGTATTAAAATGGTCGACCCAGAACCATGTAAAGAACTGAGGAGGCGGATCTCCGTAACTATTTCTGGCTGGGTTTTTGAATTGTGCCTTACTAACCTTCATCTACCCAGGTTTTGATTGTGGCTCAATTGACCCCCAGCTGCTGTACGCGCCGAACGAATCCAAAGACCCCCCCGCGTCCCGGACTCAGCGCGGTGCTCTGCATAGTCCTCCTCTGCGCTCCTTCGAAGTGCCTGCGCACTGAAGCTGTGATGAGATTCTGCTTCTGTCGTCTCGGTTGCTTTCTGCTCCCTTGCTAAAAGTTTAACTTTTAGTGGTTTCATGGAAAACCCATTCGTTTGCAAAAAAAGCTAAAGTTCTAACATCCAAGCAAAATGCCCGAAAGTCGTGTTTTTGTACCTAAGCCCTCTAAATTCCCTTGAGAATGGGTTAGTGCTCCAAATTATGGGGTGGATTCCCGATTTTGTGGGGAGTTTGAGGGTCCAGGTGCTGAGTTTTGCTTTCTCCGTAGTTGTCTCCGTCCTCTGTAGAGCAAACGACACATCGTGCAAAACTGGAAGCACAGGACAGTTGGGTTGTTTGACATGTTTCACATTTGGGTGACCTTTTTTTGGGATGGCTTCGCTTGTTCTTGTGGCTTCCCTTTTGAAAGCACGAAAAGCGGATTTCAGGGCATCCCTCAAAATCCTGAGATGACGTTGACTAAAAGATCGTTTGCTCGCCTCCACTCGGGTCCATAGCAACCACTGCGAATCTTGGACACGGGGAGACGTTTGGACATGGCTGAAAAAGCAGCTGAAAGGTACTGGCTCTATCCCCAGAGTTCTTTAGCCAAGTCTGAAACTGAAATGACTTAAATTGCGAGGCCGCCCTAGGTTTACCAGCTTCCATGCACGACCGCATGTCTGTACCCTTCAACTTCTGCGCGTATGAGCGACCCAACCACTTCTGTTTAAGCCGAACAATAAACCCTCACCTTTTGGCTTCCCTCAAAACCAAGCCGATGTTGTAACCACCACCATAGAGAGGTTGGTTCTTTAAACAATTTGTGCCTCACGCTGATATGACCACGATATATTGGTCCTTCGTTGCGAAGCGAAATAGCCAGGCTCATCCAATCGCACATATAGCAGCTCATGGTTGCAAATATTCACTCGCTACGAGTACGAGTTTTATGTTTATTCGTAGTGTAATTTCGGCAAGCGTCAATGGCTCTTGCCGCACTCACTTTTCGGCAGGTAGGCAACATGAGAGCAACGCATGTTGGTTTGTCTCCAGCTAGAGTCTCCATGACCCTTTAAAAATGGGGTCATTACCTCAAACAATGGGGTCATGGACCTATTCTTAAAGGGCCATGGAGACTCTAGGTGGAGGTAAATCCAAGCGTGTTGGGTCTCTCTTGGAAGCCTTTCGGTGTTCAAAGGGAGGGGACAAGTGACGCCAGCCATTTTGGTGTCGCATGGATGTTCCCTGCGAAAATTCAGATCTTAGCCCCACCCCTGACAAGTGTATCGGTAAGCTGTGTGTCCTTTCGTGAGGGTCCCCTTTGGAGATATTCCGTTCGCCCCCCAGTTTTGACCATGGGTATTTTTCGAAACTTGGTTGGACATATCATCGACTCATGGTTCTCCAACCCATCTTCGCATGCAAAGGACTTTTGATCCACCCCCTTTAGTGTTTCAAATTTACCACCATGTCCATAGAACTCCTAAAAGCAAATTTGGATTCCCCGGCTCCGTAACAGCTCCTTCCAACCACCAGCCAGTTTAAGCGGAAACCACCGGCAAACCATCGACCATAGGTGTCCTTTTGGTTGAAAATAGATGGATAAACCAAGAATCGCCGTCTATTTTTCAACCAAATCAACCAAAAAAAGGCCCTCTATTTTCAACCAAATCAACCAAAAAAGGACACCTATGCCATAGACGCTCCCCCGTTCGCCTCCTCCAACTCAGCCAGCGCTGCGGGGTCCGCAGATAGCACTGGCCTACGCCTCGAGTCGAATGGTGACTTGCCAAGCTGAGTTGTCATCCTGAGTCTCCATGACCCCTTAAACTTGGGTTGTCAGCTGCTCATCTTTATGATGGACAGAGCAAGCTGTTCTGACAGGGTTTGTTCATCGTGTGTCTCGCCTGGGTCAAAGTTCCCGTACGAGTGCCAGTGCGAGGAGTATGTATGGTTCGTTCGCCCCTCAATTGATACTACCTGTTTATCTGCTTAGGAACGACCGAATAGAAGGACAATTACGACCAACCTCGGTTGGTCTATAGGCGACCTTGTGGAAAATACATGGCGCCTGCATCTATGTCCAACAAAACTAGCCGATCAAAAGGACATGTTTTTGCCGGGTAAGACCATCCGTGAAGGATCTGGCTTCATCTTTCGCAATCCAGGCTAAGCCTTCCAAACATCTAAGGGAAGCCAATCAGCTAAGGGAAGCTGTGCAAACTCAAGCCGAGAACCCGCCAATTTGTCTGATGTCCTGAAACGATGTCTGTCGCTTGGGGCGGGAAAACAAAACGACCATATGGCCGAAGGGGATCCCCAAACGGCCCACAGCTTGGGCCTTCCTGAGTTCTCGCATGCAAAAAGGTCCCGCCCTTTCGTCGCGGAGTTTCGAAAAGAGCCGAGAAAGGGCGCGCGCACCGCTCAAGCGCTTCGACTTTCACCGGGGTGCGGAACCAGCGATGAGATGGATCTGAGCTTTGCAAAATGTCCGCGTGAAGCCAAAGCTGCTCTCAGTTCAGTGCAGCTTTGCCAGAAACGATGGCGGGGGCCCTATTCGCATTCCCAGTGTGTCCAGTTCCCATCATATAACAAGGCATTTGTCACATGAGACAAAACATATTCGCGCTCTTGGTATGGTAGCAAAAAACATTGTTGATTGCAGCCCCCCAGGAAAACAAAAAAACAGAACCAACAAAAAAAGAATGAACAAACAACTTTTTAAGAACAATAGTGCTATGGGTGTCAGTGGAACCAAAGAAGATGGCCCTGGGTGGAGCTAAGACTCAACCAAAGCCTCCAGCTATTGGCCTATTGCGCGTTCGATGTGAGAACACTTATGTTTAAACATCCTCCTCTCAGCTGCCCAAGCAAAATAGTTAACCTTCTGGAAGTAAAACTAGAACACATTGGGGAGCCAGCAAAAAGGTCCTTCGTTTTGGGCTAATGAGCCTAGGTTCGCTTGAGGGGTTGAGGGGATGCAACGAGTTTGCCACCGGCAACCAGGATCCCGAACCAGATCCTCCGCAGTAAGGGAGTCGACCCAAGATCATTCCCAGGGTTCCCTTTCTGTCCCTATGCGGAGGTTCCAAACGAATGGGACCCCTTTTGGATGGATAGTTTCCAGGAAAGCAAGAAGAACACAACCGACGCAAGTTCACCCAAACAGCATTGGGTTGTTGCAACTCGTTGTTATTGGTGGTTGAAACACCCTACAGAACACACAAATATAACAGCACACACACACACCAGCCGTTTCGCTGAAAGATTGAAACCCTAAGTTCCAATGTGAGTGTCCAACCCACCTAACAGGGTGCCAAAAGTCTGTCCACGGAAAAACCCTTCTTCAAAATAAACCTTGGAAAGGGACGTCCTGGTCGATTCGGTGCTTGGATTCATCCGAGTGCCACTGAAAAACTAGGATCAACCCACCCTCTTGCTGACACACATCCATGGGGGAGGGAACACATCAGATTTTCTCTCGGCATTCCCTAAACCCACATTTTTTCGATTGCTGCTTGGGCTTGGGGGCATTTCCTGGATTGCTCCTCCCCGAGCAAGAGGTCGATCACCTTTTGCCTGGAAGATCAATCGCCTTTTGCAGGGAGCCCCTATGAAGTGCCATGCATGTTGACGCTTTAGGTTTATCCGATGGCACTGGTAGATGCTTGGAACCAAAGCGAAACCAATGGCTTGCCCATCTATGTCCAACCAAACCAACCTAAAACTGATTCCAGTGGAACCCATCTATTGCCAAACCCAACAAAAAACACGGAGGAAAAAAAGGGGGGAAACCCCCCCTCAAAAAAACAAACAAACAAACAAAACGGCGCCGTCACGGCGCCGTCGGTTGTCCTTTTCGACGCGCCTCTCCCGGCCTCTGCGACAGCATCTCCCCGTACCTCGCGCAGTCCTCCTTGAGCCGCCGCAGCAGATCTTGCGCCACCAGGCTGCCTCTGACCGACAAAAACAGGGATCCGGATGTCCGGATGTATTATACACCTGAACATTGCAACTTGTGGATGGTGGGTTCCAACTTGATTTTGGTGGAAAAAACAACATGTTTCAAATGGTTGCAAAATGTATCTTTTAAGGAGCCCTGCAAAACTTGGGGCGTTTCGTGGTGGGGTGGGGCGGAGTGAGGTGTGGGGCGTTTCGGGGTGGGGTGGGGCGGAGTGAGGTGTGGGGTGGGGTGGAGCGAGTCGGAGCGAGGTGTGGGGTGGTGCCCCTTAACCTTCATCTTACCCGGGTAAGATGATTGTGGCTCAGTTATTGAACCCCTTCGGAATACCTTGGGCTGGCCCCCGTGCTGGCCGAGTGGCGTGCACCCACGTGGCCTGCCAGATCGAAAGGGGAGGTGCCTTCCACAGGCAGCGCCTGACAGTCGATGGGCCGCCGGCGAAACCACTCTGAGAAAACCACGAGGAACAGGGCTGTGGGAAATGGAATCCACTTCTGTGATACAAGAAAAAGCCTTTCAAAGACGACCCCGCCATGTAAAGAGGGGATTCCCTTGTATCACAGAAGTGAGGGGAGGACAGGAAGCCAAGAGCAAAGAATGAGGAAGCCAAGAGGAAACTGGGCTGTCCGTTTTCAGATCCGCTAAAAGTGACTAACTGTTTGGCGGGTGAAATGGAAATCCCCACCAAACGCTAGAAAGCTAACAAGCTGGGGATGGCTGGGAACCAGGAAGAAAACCATGAGGAAGCCGTGAGGAAGCCAACAGAAAGCTAAGCCAAGAGCAAACCAAGAGGAAACCAGGAGGACACCAAGCGGAAACCAAGAAGAAGCAAGAGCCAACCGAGACGAAACCGAGAAAGCCAAGAGCGAGGAACCAAGAGGAAGCCAAGAGCAAACCATGAGGAAGCCAATAGCAAACCAAGAGGACACCAAAGACAAACAATGAAGAAGCCAAGACGAAACCAAGAGGAAATCAGGAAGAGCCAAGAGCAAGCTAGGAGCAGAGCAGGAGGAAACCAAGAAAGGAAACGGGAGGGAAACCAAAAGAAAGCCAAGAAGAAGTCAACGGCAACAAGGCAACGAAAAATAAAGAAGAAAAAAGCGACAGCGGCGACAGTGCCCATAGCTGTTGACATGCCACTCCAGCCATCCTCAACGAAAAACAAACAAAACAACACAAGGTCGAAAAGATCCAGGTTCCACCTTCAACTTGTACAAAAGGGCGCCAGGCTGGCTCGAAATAAAATGCTCAGGCTTTTAATAATTGCTTGCAGTTTCTTGGGTGTAGTTGCTTAAAAAAAAAAACTGGCCCTACAAACATCTGGCTTGCCCCTGCCAACTTAGCAACACAAACGCCTGCGCTTTTGCAAGAGTGGCCCTGTTGAACCTTCTGGAGCGTTATAAAGCAGCTATGTAAGCTGACAAGGGTGTACGCCTGTTGAAAGAACTGCCGCAGCAGCGCCAAGAGAGAACTGGCTCCATGCCAACACAGGGAGAGATGCTGCGAGGCACTTTCAGTCGGCAACCCGAAGGATTCTCACGGTCACGATCCGCCAATTGACTCTTAGAGCGAGAAAATGCCCATGCGCCAATGTGACAATGTGGGGCAACGCCTCCTGCAAGGATACGAAGCGCTGCAGCTGGAGCGTCGCCAGGATCTCCTGCGAGCGCCACGCGCTCTGAGTCGCTGGTGACTTCCACCGAACGGCTTAAGCCCAAGGGTGGGTGATCCCCCCTACCATGAGGGGGAGGGGGTGGTCCCCACTTCCAGTTATCTACTCTTCCCCTTACAAAGGAAATGGAACCATAAATGGAGATCTCCAGGGGTCGAAATCCCCCCTCCCCCAATTCCATATTTAAGGCGCTGGGGATGGTTGGTGCCCATCCCTCGCCCCTTGGGTTCTCAACAGGGCTGTGGGAAATGACCACTGGCTTCCCAACAGCTAACCCTCCATAGAAAGGGGAAAAACTCCTGGATCCCACAACCCTTGTCCAAGTTAGCTGGGCCGTCCGTTTTCAGATCCCCCGCTAAAAGTGACTAACTTTTAGTGGGTTAAATGGAAACGGGGATGGCTGGGAAGACCTTTTTTGGTATTTCCTTTACAAGGCTCCTTCTTGGGCGACGGGGTCCAAGGAACCCACGCATTTTCTCACTCAGAGAAAAATCCACACACAGACATACGGACACAAGTACAGAGACACAGAAACCGCAAGACAGTTCGGCAAGCATGTTACACTCACACATAGAGAGGCTCACATTCAAATGCATACATTAGACACGCACGCCCCAAAACACAACTGCACACTCTGGGATGGTGTTGTCCGAATCAATCACCCTCATATATGTCCGTCATTGGGCGGCTCAAACATCATCTTTCAGTCGCCAAGTCAACTTGCATTTCTCCATGTAAGAACAAAAATATAACCTTCTGCTTGTAAAACTCCTTGAAGGTCACTTGGCTGTGGGTCAAAGCCAATGGTATCCCAATTGGGCACCCAGTTTAGATTCTATTTCAGTGGTTGGATTGAATCGGATGTTCACTGCGGGTACGATTTGGATTTTGAAAAGCCCATGGCCACTTGTTGCTTTCTGCTCCCCTGCTAAAAGTGTTTTTTTCTTTTAGTGGTTAAATGGAAAACCCACTAGCTGGTAAAAAGTTAAAGTCCTAACATCCAAGCAAAATGCACCAAAGAAATGGTGGTTGATCTGTTGGTTTCCCTGCAAACCTACCCGTAAAGTAGGGTAGGGTACGATTTGGATTTTGACCCATGGCCACTTCTCTTCTGGTGGCATTTGTTGCGCCGAGCTGCCCCTTTTGCCAAAGTGGCCAGCGGAGGGGGCAGCTGACGACTGCTGCAGGTCTCGTCCTCTCCGAGGACGAAGGTGGGTCGGTCGATTCGCCAAGTTAGGTGTCCTTTTTGGTTGAAAATAGATGGCCCTGCTAGATGATGGAACCACCAGGTAAACCAGGGTCCTCTATTTTTCAACCAAATCAACCAAAAAAGGACACTTATGTTCGCCAAATTTGCCAAGTGGCCATGGGCTTTTTCAAAATCCGAATCGTCCCGCCAATGAAAATCCCAATGCAATGACGAAAATAGGTTTTCAAGACTGGGTGGTGAATTCACCAATCCCCCAAAATGGGATCCCAAACGGTTTTGACAACCACGGCCAAGTTAAGTTGTTGGGAACCCTTCGGTGCCAGCCGAGTCACTTAGTCCCATGAAGTGGGAACCGAGCATCAAAGTAGGCTATGAAAAAGACTTTTCTTCCCGGGCCCGAAAAGCTACCGAACCGTTGGCTTGCCACCAACATAGTCCAGACCCAAAAAGTGACTCATGTCCAGGAACTGGTGAAGTGAGTAGGGCCTTTCGGGTCACAAAGACCCCAGCCATGTCCTGTTGGCTTCCCGAACCAACCTGTAACGAGTAGTGCTTGGTCGGGAACCCAAGGGCACCTACTTCTATGAGCGGTCGATTCCCGCGCGGAGGGCGTTGTTCGGGACACGAGGCTCGTTTTTTTCATGTAAGGAGAAACACATATATATATATATATACATACACATATATATATATATATTCAACAAAAAAGGCGGCCGCAACTATTTCCGGCTGGGGATGCCCTTCCTAACTCAATCATCTACCCGGGTTTTGATGGCTCAAATGGCACCAATACGTATAACTTTCCCGGCTTATCCGCAAAAGCGGCGTTTCGAACCAGTGGGTAATCGGCAAATTACAACTTTTAGCCGGGCGGGAACGGGTGTAGGTGTACCCGTGAGTGTAAAAAGGACACCAAAAGGAACCCAACCATTTCGTGCCCCGAAGAAGAGCCACAGCCAAACCCCTTTGCTAGGAAGGGTACGTTGGGAAGAAAGCCGAAGAGCCTCGCTTCAGGGTGTCACGCCCTCAAGGGAAACCGAAAATCACTGTGTATGTTTTGGGGCTCCTTTGTCTTGCTGGTTCGAAAGGCATGGAATGAGAAATGGAAGCACCCCAGGAAAAAAAACAACAAAAACAGCGCTTCAAGTGGCTTCCTTTAAGGGAATCGCCCAAAAACCGGTTCATTCAACCAACACCCTGGGTTGCAGCAAGCTTGGGGCTCCACCGTTTTGACTCACAAAAACAAAAACGACGCCTTCGCTCGCCGCAGCAGCACTGGCTCGCGAAGGTTCGGCCTCACGTCGGGTTCAGCCTTCGGCCACTTGGGTTCGGCCTCGTACCCCACCTAGAGGCGCGGGTTCCTGTTCAGAGCTTCTGACAATGGGTGTGAGTTTTAATCACGGACCCTTTGGTGGACATCATGTAGGTGGAGATTCATGTCCAATCACTTTTGAGATTCCCTATTCAATTTCCTGGCCATAGCAGCTTCAACCTAAGTTGTGGTGTGGAGCCTGGTGGTTTAGTTGTTAGGGCTGGTTTCCCATTTGCCCTCCACAAAAAACCAAGGGTCCAGATCCCCAAACCACCAACCACGAACTAGCGGGTTCCTGAAAATACATGTAGCCCTGGGACCTCCATTTTGAGAAACACCCTATTGGTATCCTTGTCAATCCAACCACAAAAAGGGTCTCCAAGGAACAGGAAACAGGCCTAGTTCAGAAAAGGTTCCGCGCTGTAGACTTGGTTGACGTTGGAAGGGGAGCAAAAATTTAAATGTTAGCAGTTAAGCAATAAGCAAAAATGTATGTCACAAAAAATGTAAATACCGCAACTTCATGGTGCCGGGTTCACCTCTCCGTTTACCCCTGAGCTCGTGGAACAGATCGACGGGACAGAATACTCACCATGCGATGACCAAGCTTGTAGGGGGCCGGCCGATCTGTAGTCAATTCACAGACGGCTCAAGAAACGGGGGCAAGGTGGCAGTGCCTGGTTCAGGCAGTGGCCAAAGACATGACCGCGTTTGGGTTTCTTGGCGCACCCATTTTGCGATGGCTTTGGGGGGAAACCACTAGAAACACTTTGGACATCTGATTCCTGGATCTGGGTTCAAACCAAGCGCCGATCCCCGACACTTTCTCTGTTTCTCCGGTGTCAATCGCCCAGCTCTGGAAAACGAGTCGCCCATGCTCAAGCTGTACCATGCTGTACAGTGCCCAAGCCATTCCGCCAGAGGAGGCGGGCGGCCAGGAGGCCGAGGACAGAGGGGTCAAACGGCTCGTGCCATCAGGAAACGCTTTGCAGTCTACCAGCTCAGCAATGGAACTTCTCCGCTTGAACCCTCCCGGGCTAAAACGGCACTCGATCCTGTGTTGTCTCAAAATAGGGGAGGGTCCCCCTTTCTCTTGGGTGGCTTCCTCTTTAACCAACCCCAACAAAAAGCACCCTCCGAAGAAAAAAAAACAGAAAAACATAGGACAGCTCAGTGAGTGCTGGACAACTCCGGCTCACTTGCCCTGTGGTTTCCCCACTGGGCAGAACAAAAAAAAAAACGCAAACTTGCTTCGCTGCGAGCCGATGCCTCTCACTTCCTCCAGGCCAGGCGCTTCATCTCCTGGACAAGTCGCTGGCTTTTGGCATTTGGTGCCGGAAAGGGGGTGGCTGGCAAGGGAAGCGAGGAAAAACATGAACCGGGCACAAGAACACACGGAACTGCATCAACTCCATTGGCGTAGTGGTGTCCAGTTCCAAAAGCCGTTTTGCAGAGGCCAACAAAAAGAAGGATGAGACTGACCAGACAAGTCAGGAAGAATGGTTACATCTTCACGCATGGATGTGGCTAGGGCAAACCGCAGGTTTAGTCTTTGGCTCCAAGTGCCAGCCTGGTTGCAAATTTCTTTCAGCCCCACATGGCAGAAATATTTTTGTCTAAAAAAAAAAAGGAGGCCCGCGATGCCCACGCGCGGGGTCCCTCGCAACCAACCGCAACCAACCGACCAACCGCGATGTCGGGTCCTTGGAGCGGAAGTGGCACCGCTTTTGAAGCTTCGCCTCCTTGTCATAGTAGCCCGGGCAGCTGAACCAGCCTGCCGGGCCGCCGGGCCGCCGGGCCGGCGAGCGAGCCGAGCGGGGCCTCTCCCTGTGGCATGTCTGCTGCTTCTTGGTGGCCGAAAAAAAGTTCTTGGGGGGCGGGGGGAGGGGGGTTGCTGGGAAGAATCGTGTTTTTGTTTGGGGGGGGGGGGGAGAAATTTTGGACATGGTTGCAAAAGCAAAGCAGCCGGGGGGTGAGAAGAACCTTTTGGGAACACGACATCTATCCGTGACAACCCGAGTGTCTTCACTGACTTGGCCAATGACTTTCTGCTGCTTTTAGAAGCGTCATCTTTCTGAGGTCGGTTCCGATTGTTGAGGTCTGCTGGTGTTGTGGAGGGGTGACTTCTTTAAAGGGAAACCAACAACAATAACCATTTTGTTGAGGGTACCGATGGAAACCACCAAAAGCAACACGCAAAACCAAAACAATCACGACATATTCTGTGCGTATTGTCGAAGCCCGAAATATTGCAAGTGCGAAGCAAACAAACAGATTGCACGGTCTACTAAAAGAAGCACTATGACATGACATCTGCAGCCCCCACTCCCCCAAGACTTGCAATGTGTTGGGCCTGGGAAGAAGGGTTACGCGCTTGGCTTCAACATTGTAGCTGGGGAGAGGGGTTCGCACGCAGTGAGCGGTGCCAGAGAATCAGTGTCGACATCCCACGTGGCGGAACTTGCAATATTTAGGGCTTACACAGTACCAATTCCGATGAGACACACCCAAGGGAATTGAAGGGCACCTAAGTCTGGTCGTGGCGAAGGAAGTTCTCCATGTTTCAACTCGAGCGAGTGAGTTTTTTTTTGTTTCCCCGCAGGGGCCGGATGGAATTTTTGCGGTCTCCTCTAAAGTGATGTTCATAGACTCTAAGTTTGGGGCAGGGCAGTCCAAAGGTCACGGCTCAACTATTTCCACCTCCATGTTGAATGCGGGGCACCGGCTCTTGTTCGTAGGGGCGGGATCGGCTGTTGGGGATCGGAAGAGCCGGCTGGCCGCTTTCCAGTGGGCAGCTAGAGAAAATAATGCAAATGGCTGAAGATATTTGGTTATCAAGGCTTCAATGATTACATCAAATATTATCGTCGATTAAAATCAATTCATGTGAGCAAGTGAAAGAGTGGGCTGGAAGGCAAGCCCTCACTCTCTCCCATCCATCTCCCACTCACTTCGTTCGTTCACCCCAGCCTTCACAGAAAGAAAGAGGCTGGGACACACCTTCCTATCACATGCCAGGCAATAAGGTACCTGGAGAAGCCTGGCAAAGGAAGGTGTGCAGCTCCTCTCATTAACCCGCCATATCTTATCTGTCAAGTGGCAGGAGAAGAGATGAGAAATGAGTCCCGGCCTCCCACTCGGCTCCAATGCACCTGGCTTGGGTAAAAGCTACGGAGGGGATCTGTGGACTCAAAGGCCTGACTCAACTTGCGGAACCGTTTTCGTCGGCTCTTAGAGACCACTGGGAATGGAATCCACTATGATACAAAAAGGGCTTCCCAAAGTTTCTACTTTGTTCATATCAAGAGGGATTTTTACAAGTACCACAGAAGTGGTTGGAGAAACCCCTTGCGATCCCACGACCCTGGTAGAGACTGAATCCAAGAGATTCATCAAACCCCATGGATGAAGGACCAACTGAGTCAATGTCTTGTTGCCTCTGGTATTCACTCCTTTTCCACCTCTTGGGGGGTTTCGGAAGGCTTCGGAAGGCTTTGGCTTCCCATATACTGACGTCACTCTGCGCTGACGTGTCTGATGCTTCCCCATTGAAAAAAACCCGCATGGACGATGGGGCACCGTTGTTCCTTGGGGTAAAAAAATGCTAAAAGGCTGGGCGTGTGTCAAAATACGGGAACCCCTCAAATGGGCTTTCACAACAAAAACGCCCGTAATTTTGGAGGAGAAAGGACAAGCCTGAAAACAAGGCTCCTTTTCTGGGCGATTCCCAGATCCCATGCTAAAAGTCTAACTTTTAGTGGTGTGGGAACTGCCACCTTTCACCAACTAAACACAAATACAAACCTAATAGGAACCAAAAAACCACCCCGAGCCTCCAAACCGGAAACTCAATCAAGGCCAGGTTTTGATAAACTACACCAAGCAAGACCATACCCGCCACACCAAGCAAAAACCCGGAACCACCACGCCTTTTTCGCCTTTCTCGTTTCGCCCCGCCTGGCCGTGTTTGCACCTGGGGCAGCTAGGGAGCGCCCCGAGCACCCGGCCCTCCGCCACTCGCTGGATCAGCTCGTCCTTGCGCTGGGGGCCCGTTGCTGGCGGTTTGAGGGTTTTGGGCCTGAGCGCCCCGTCTTTTTTAGAGTTGGTACCCCCTTGTTTCGTGAGTTTCAACGTGAAGCCAAGAGGAAACCACCCATTCTTGGGGCGGGTCCCTAAAAAAACGACACGTATAAATCGTGGAGCCGTCGTCGTACTCCTTGTGTGGTGAGTTTTAACGGAAAATCATGAGGAAAACACGCTCCTTTGTTTCATTTCTATTTCATTTATTTCTTTTGGGGGGGGTCCCCTAAAACAAACGAACCCGTATAAAACGTAGAGGTGCGAAACGCGATCGGCTCGCCTCTGATTTTGTTGGTAGTTGGAAAGGCCATGGCACTTTACCTCCGAACATGGTTATAGAAGTTCATAAGGCCTTACTTGTTGAGCCTCATAAAACCAGGTTGGAACCGAACCACTACTGAAAAAAAGAACAAACTGTTTGTTTACACTAACATGGTTCAGACCAAAGTGACTAAAGCAACCAGGAACTCGCGGAGTGGACGTTTTAGTGGCCCGTCTGGGTCAGCTTCCATGATTGGAGAATGGTCTCCTTCAACTTTTTGGGAACATCTGTATTTCCCCACCAACATGCCCAACATGTTGCTTTAAAATATGTTTGCGTAGGTGGCAATCGCTGAGTGGATTTCCTCAATGTCTCATTTCGCTTGTGTCCGACCAAACGCCGGAAAGCTCTAGGGGTTGATTCCAACTTTCAAAAGATCGTTCTTTCCAAGAACCGGATCCGTTTTCCCTGGGTTTCCGGAGGCTTTGTTGAAAATAACGGATCCCTGGAAAGAATGGAAATGGAAGCACCTAGGTCCCAACCACTGCTTTTTGGCTACCGTACTTGGGATGCTGGGGCATGGAACCGACAAAACAGGCAAGTTGGAAGGTACCCCTCGAAAAGCTGCACCTCTCGAAAAG